AACTCGCGGGCTCAGGCAATCCACTCACCTCAGCCTCCCAAAGGCACGGGATTACAGGCTGAGCCACTGAGCCTGGCTAATGAATACTTGTTGAATAAATGTATACTGTGTGCAGACTCAGCAAGTGCATGGTCAGTACCCCAACACACTCGAGACTCCCTCAGAACGCTCTCCCTCCTCACCCTTGCAGGCTGCCTCCGCATGCACTGGGCACCCGGAACTCCAGTGCCCCTCACCTTGGCAGTATCTGCCCGTATAGCCAGGGGGACAGTGGCAGTGGCAGGGGCTGACGTTGAGACGTCCATGGTTCCGGCAGCTCATGCGACAAGGGTTCCTGGGGACCTCTGGCCAGACAAGGAGGGAGCTCTGAAAAGGGGCCTCCTCCTCCCAGCAGGCAGGAGCCTCCCTGGGTGCTGAGGACTAGGGCATCCGGGACAGCCCCTCGGATGCTGCCACCCACCCTAGACCAGGCCCTCATGCACCTGCTCCCCCACTAGGAGGCAGGCGGGGAGGGGACACTTACCACAGAGCCCCCCTGCATGGTCCCAGGCTTTGAAGCATCCCGAGACACTGGCTGTGCAGAGTGAACACCAGGTACCCTTCTTATAGGGGACGATTATCTTCCCGCTGACCTCCCAGTTGCCTCTGTGAGAGCAGGCGAGTGCCAGAGGGTCTGGAAAGGGCTGGCCAAGGGCAAAGCAGGGGTAGGGACTTGCTGCCTGCCCACTGGCCCCTTCAGCTCCCCTGGCCCAGGGAGTCAGGGAGCTGGGTAAGACAGATTCCCTAGGAAAGAAAAGACAGCCTGGGCACAGTGGCTCATGTCTATAATCCCAACACTCTGAGAGGCCAAGACAAGAGGATTGCTTGAGCCCAGGAGTTCAAGACCAGCCTGAGCAACATAGTGAAACCTTGTCTCTACAAAAAAAATACAAATAAAAAAAATTAGCTGGGCCTGGTGGCATGCACCTATATTCCCAGCTATTCAGGAGGCTGAGGTGGAAGGATCGCCTGAGCCCAGGAAGTTGAGGCTGCAGTGAGCTGTGACTGTGTCACTGCAACTGCAGCGTGAATGACAGAGTGAGGCTCTGACTCAAAAATAGGAAGCAAGGGCCGACTCAGTGGCTCAGCCTGTAATCCCAGCATGTTAGGAGGCTGAGGAGAGTAGATTGCCTGAGGCCAGGGGTTTGAGATCAGCCTGGGCAACTTGGCAAGACCTCGTCTCTACAATAAATAAGAAAATTAGCCAGGTGTGGCAGCTCGCGCTGTAGTTCCAGCTACTTGGAAGGCTGAAGTGAAAGGGTTTCCAGAGCTCAACAGGTCGACGCTGGGGTGGCTGTGAGTGTGCCACTGCACTCCAGCCTGGGTGACGGAGTGAGAATCTGACAAAAAAAAAAAAAAAAGAAGGAAGAGCCGGGCTCGGTGGCTCAGCCTGTAATCCTGTGCCTTGAGAGGCTGAGGTGGGTGGATTGCCTGAGCCCGCGGGTTTGAGACCCGCCTGGGCAACTTGGCGAGACCTCATCTCTACAATAAACCAAAAATCAGCCGGGTGTGGTAGCGCACGCCTGTAGTTCCAGCTACTTGGAAGGCTGAGGTGGAAGGATCGCCGGAGCCCAGCAGGTCGAGGCTGCGGTGGCCGGGAGCGGCTACTGCACTCCAGTCTGGGTGACAGAGTGAGACTCCAACTCAAAAAAAAGAAAGAAAGAAAAAAAAAAAGGAAGGAAGGGAGGGAGGGAGGAAAGAGAAAATAAACCTCCAAACGAATCCTGGGCAAATTGCCTGAAACTAAGGTCGTGTTTCCAGGAAGGGACATCCATGGAGAAGCCACATTCTGCATGATCAGAATCTTCAACACCCTCTGCCTCTCCTCTTCCTTCCTCTCCCACCAAGGGTGCAGACCAACAGGTCAAGGCCTTTCATGTGGGTGGGTGGGCATCTCACCCTGGGGGACAGCATCCCTCCCCACTTCCCAGACAGCCCATCAGGGGGTGGCAGGGCAGCCGTCATCAGGGGGCTTACCCAGGGGAGTAAGCACAGACAAAGGCTTCCATTGCTGCCTGGCCCACGGAGCACAGATGCCGCCCACAGCCCAGCTGGCTCGAGGTGGCCCACACGAGCTGCAGGAGACACAGTGGCTCAGAAACTCTATCACAGACTCCCCCGGATGAGGGACATAGCTTTTATCACACAACCCAGGCCCACAGACAGTTTCTTTACCTCTTTGGAGACCTCAGGAACCACAGCTGTCCTGGGCAGGGTTATAGGGATGGGTAGGAATAGTCTAGAAAGGCTTTCTGAGTGGAGGGGAGAGTGGTGGGGGGTGATTTAGCAGATGCCTCAAGGAGGGGAAATTGTGGATGGGTGGAGGAGAGTGGCAAAAAAAGACTGCGATATCAGGGGCCTTGTGATTGCACAGTGGCCACAACCCTTCACTTCTCGCTATAACCCACTCTTTTTTTATTTTTTGAGTTGGAGTCTCACTCTGTCACCCAGACTGGAGTGCAGTGGCCGCTCCCAGCCACCGCAGCCTCGACCTGCTGGGCTCCGGCGATCCTTCCGCCTCAGCCTTCCAAGTAGCCGGAACTACAGGTGCGCGATACCACGCCCAGCTAATTTTTGATTTATTGTAGAGATGAGGCCTACACCAAGTTGCCCAGGTGGGTCTCAAACCCGCGGGCTCAGGCAATCCACTCACCTCAGCCTCCCAAAGCGTGGGATTATAGGCTGAGCCACCGAGCCCGGCTATAACCCACTCTTTTAAATATGATGTTGCAGTTCTTGGCAGCAAGAGGAAGTGTCTCCCCATCCCTTGAATCTGGTTGGCCCTGTGACTTGTGTTGACCAACAGAATGTGGCAGAAGTGATACTGGGCCGATTTTGAATCTAGCCCTTAAAAATACCTTGCATTTTCCACTCACTTTCGTAGAACCGTGCTCAGCCAGCACATGAACAAGTTTAGGATAGCTATCTGGAGGCTGAAAGACCTCATAGGGTAGGGATGAGCCATTTGAGGCCATTCTACATAGACAGCTCCCAGCCAACCCACTAGCTGATTGCAGTTGCAAGAGTGGATCCAGCCAAGACCAGAGAACCTCCCAGCTGAGCCCAACCCAAATGGTTGACCTGAAGAATCATAAGCTGCAAAATTTGAGAATGGTGTGTCATGCAGCAAAAGCTAATAGATACGGGTCTTTAAACTTAGATTTACCGCCTGGGCAGCGAGACCTCATCTCTACAATAAATCAAAAAATCAGCTGGGCATGGTAGCACGTGCCTGTAATTCCAGCTACTTGGAAGGCTGAGGCAGAAGGATCGCCGGAGCCCAGCAGGTTGAGGCTGCGGTGGCCGGGAGCAGCCACTGCACTCCAGTCTGGGCGACAGAGTGAGACTCCAACTCAAAAAAAACAAAAGAAACTTAGATTTAAAGTCTTAGAATCAGTGACAACTTGGAAACAGCACAGATAGTCAATACACAGGAACAGCTAAGTAAATTCTCTGGGAGCCACGAAAAATAACAAGTGTGAGACTGGGTTGTGGCGGGGAGATGTGACCATGTGGTGACACACATGCATCCAACAATTAGAGAATATGCATTCTTTTTAGGAGTGCATGGAACTTTTGTAAACCACAAAGCATGACCACAATCAGACCACAAAGCAAGCTTCAATAAATACCAATGAATCATATCCTACAGGCCGCATTTGATGAATGTAATGCAATGAATTTTAAAGTAAATAATTTAGAAGTAAATAAAGAAGGAAACATAGTTTGGAAACATAAACATACATGTCAAAATCAAAAACAACATCATGATTGGAAATAGAAAACAGTCCTAAAGAATATAAAAACAAGCCGGGCTTGGTGGCTCAGCCTGTAATCCCACGCCTTTGGGAAGCTGAGGTGAGTGGAATGCCTGAGCCTGCGGGTTCGAGACCCGCCTGGGCAACTTGGTGA